ACAGAGTAGGAACTCAATGATGCCGTGCCGAGTTAGCAAAATCGCGATGCAAACATGGAAGTTTGTCTTCACTGCTTCTCAGCGTCCATCTGTCTAAACTGCTTGCCACAGGTGGGAGGGCTGAGAACAGAAACCCTGTTCTGACATGTTTTCTAAATTCGATTTAAAACAGAGTTCACAAATGCCCTTATCAAAATGCTTTCTCTGCAAAGAATTACGTTTATGGAAAACTGGATATAAGTAGGTTTGGAGTTTCACCAGGCAAATATGGACAAGAGAGATAGCAGCATAGGAGTTGGGGGGTGCACATGGAGAGTGATTATAATGATAGGCTGTGGAATAAGAAATATGAAATTCTTACCTTTTGCAACAGCCTGGAACTGGAGACTATTATGCTAAGTGAAATAAGCCAGTTGGTGAAACACAAATACCATATGGTCTCACTTATAATGAGCAAAATAGAACCAGAGGCATAGAAACATGGAACAGACTGACAACTGCAAGAGGGGAGAAGAGAAGTGGGGACCGGCTGAAAGTGAAGGGATTAGTTAAAACACATATATGCATGACCTATGGCCATGGACAGCAGTGCAGGGATTGACTGTGGGAGCAGGGGCAGGCTGGGTGGAGGGGGACATAGGGGGGAAATTCGACAACTGTAATAGCACAAACAATAAAATACTTAAATTAACAGACTGTAGTGTAAAATGTAGCATAGGAAAGTTATATATAGCTAATAAAGAGTTTGATTTAAAAAAACAGAATTAGGGCTGGAAAGGAGAGCAGTAAGAACACTGGTAAGATCAACAGATTGGTTGTGGGGTGTGGGAGGATTGTGTTAGCCGATCGTGGAAGTCAGGATACTAAAGAGAGTAAGTAGCAAAAAAAAAAAAAAAAAAAAAGGCAGAGAAATAGTGAGGAGCTACCGTTTCAGTCCAGGCAGATGCTGGTGGTCAGGGAGGGGGCGAGGACAGCTGCCGGATGTATTTGGTAAGTAGAGGCTATGAAACTTTCTGACGGGGTGTCGGTGGTGGGTAGTGGGGAGGAATCAAGAACGACTCCCCCACTGGGGACACCCAGCAGTGCAGCAGGTCTGTGCCGGGCAGAAGTAAACTCCCAGACAACGGGAACGAATGTTGTGGGAGAGAATGGGCGATTCCTGTCCAACCTAGGCTGACCCTGGGATAAAGGATTCTTTAGAACCCGAAATATCAGGGCTTTTTTTTTTTAAAACAGAAAACCGCTTCCTCTTGTGCCGCCGATACCTTGCCTCGATCTCTGGCCAAATCCCAAGCCCTCCTCCCTTAAACCCTGGCCCCCAGGCCCGGTTGCAGGCCGCGCGAGAATCTACTTACAAACTGGCTTTTTCGGCCTCTCGGAAACCCCAGGAGCATCTTCGCTGCGAGCAATGGTCAGCCCGGGTCTGCACCGACCAGCAACCCTTCGCTACAGCCTGGCCCCAGCCCTCTGGCCTAGCCCCAGACGCTCTTTCTACTCAGGGGACTGCTCAACAACCACATTTGCTACTGGCTCTGCTTTCTCGCCTGCCAATTAGAGCCAAGGATACTTCGAACCCGTCGCTCTTGGTAACCAGCAGGTCCCACTCAAATGCCCTCTGGGGCGAACCTGTTCAGGCTTCCCCTTCTCCTATTGGCCAGAGGAGAGGTCGATCTCCAACGCCCTAGCCTATCTGACGCCCTTGGAGGCGGAGGGCGGGCAGGACGAAGGATTGGACTGAGGCGTCAGAGCGGACGGAGCTTGGTAGCAGGGGCCGGGGAGGTGACCGGAATGAGGGAGGGGCTACCAGGACTGGAATCTCCTGGCTTCTTAGGCTTTGGCAAATAATTCAGTCTTGTAGCACTGTAGACCAGCTTCTGCCAAGAGGCCCCAGCCGTGTGGAATGTGGGGCCGTGCGCAGGACAGCTTGCTCACATGCCGTCTTGTATTTCCCTCTCTAGATTAAGGCCGCCATGGAAAGGAACCCCGAGCATGGCCCAGGCCCTGTGCACGTGCCTTTTGGGCACATTGTTGCCAATGAGAAATGGCGTGGGTCGCAGCTGGCACAGGACATGCAAGGTCGGTGGGCTGCCCTCGGCATAAACTTTCTCCATCCAAACCCCAGTTTTGAAGAAAAATCTATCAATTGCTACCTTTTCATCCAAAGCTCACGGAACTTTTCTTGTCTGCATTTTAAGGGAAAATTAAGCTTGTTTTTGAGGATGGCCTGGCACCCGTAGATTTTTACTTGTCTACCAGATGCTGCATTCTTTATATCAAGGAAGCCGATTTGGTGGCTGGAAATAGCTACCGAAAGAGGCTTGTTCGCGTTAGAAATGTAAGTACTGAATTGAAAAAACTGACATTGAAAACTGACTTCTAGACCCTCCTCCTCTGTCTTATATTTAGAATAATTCATATAAAACCATTGGCCATTCCAAGTACTCTTGGAGTGAAAACTTTCTTAAACTTGAATGGAATTTTGTTACAAAATTGTTTATTGGTGTTTTTTTAATTTTCCTTTGAAGTCTAGTAATCTTCAAGGAATAGTAATAGTTGAAAAAACACAGATGAGTGAACAGTACTTCCCAGCCATACAGAAGTTTACAGTGCTGGACCTTGGGATGGTGTTGCTTCCAGTGGCCAACCAGGTGGAAGCGTCTTGCCTCATTATCCAGTTAGTAAGTACTGACTTCTGTACCTCCACAATAGCCCTGTCTTGAGGACTCTCAACTGACCTTCACGGATCTTTCAGCTGCTGCCCTTGCTTGCTATGGTTTCTCCTGAGTCCCTCAAGACAGTCTAATCATTCTTTGTTAGTTCTTTTTTTTAAGATTTCATTTATTTTTAGAGAGAGGAGAAAGGATGAAGAGAGGGAGAGAAACATTAATAGGTTGCCTCTCACACCCCCCCAACTGGGGACCTGGCCCGCAACCCTTGCACATGCCCCAACTGGGAGTCAAACTGATGACCCTTGGTGTGCAGGGCAGCACTCAATCCACTGAGCGCTGTCAATCCTCTGTATTGACACCAGTGCAAATGTCAGCTAGCAGCTGTTTTGCCTCAGCCTCATGTATCTTTTAAGCATCAGCACTGTGTGCAAGTTTATGCTGTTGCTTTTAAAGCTAGTATAAGATTATTCGACTTGACTATACATCAGAATTTTTGTGGGAAAACTTTTCAAAATAGCAATACATGAGCCTTATTTCCTCAGACCAATTAAAAATCAGAATGTGGGAGCCAGGCCGAAGCATCAATTTTTGTTACTGTGTTGTTGATTTGAAATCTTCCCCAAATTAGAAACGCAGTCCTGTGTTCACAGACCCCTCCATGACTCTCCACCACATTTCTCCGCTTTATTATTCCTAACTTCCCTCGATGTAAGGCTATTACCTGCCTTTTCTGTTTCCACAACTGAGACTGGGTTTCTCCTTTCATCACCAAGGTCTCTCCAGATCCTGTATCAAGCAGGTCCAATTTAGGTGTAGGCATCATTTAATCTCATACAACTGAAATGTTTCTTAGTTGATCACAGGAACATGTTTGAATTCCTCACAGCATCTTTTCATTGCTTTTATCCTAAGCATTCTGGAAACCCAAGTTTTTATTTAAAATTTTCATCTCTTACTCCTTTGTGTAGTCATGTGGGTCATCTTTCAATAACTCTGCTGATGAAAAATTATATTCATGGCATGTGAAAACATTTGTAGTGGTAGGTCAAGCTGAACCAAAGAGAAAAAATAAATTTCCACCAAACAAATTTTAAGAAGATTGCTAGTCCACTAGAGGGTGCTCACGTGCTCTTTAATTTCCTTTCAGGTTCTAGAGCAAGCCAAAGAGCCCAATAAGAACCCTTTTCTCAGGAAGAAACAGGCTCTCACCCCTGAGCCATCCCTACTTCGAACTGTGCAACAGATCCCAGGAGTTGGAAAAGTTAAAGCTTCCCTTCTGCTTCAGAAGTTCCCGAGTATCCAACAACTGAGTAACGCAGCTGTCCCAGAACTGGAGCCGGTTGTCGGGCATGCAGCAGCACAGCAAATCCACGCATTCTTCACACGGAGGGGACAGCTTTTCTCATAGCACCTACTGCGTTTTCTTTAGACCACGCACACGGGATCTTGTGTTCTTTTTATATTTAAAAATCAAGAAACAGGACTTCCTGTCACAGCAGCTAGTGAAAGATGAGGTGAGGCCTGAGTGGAATCTGCCAGTTGTCCTGGGCAGGGGGGCGGATAGGCATTTAAGTTAGTGGGCCCAGATGGTGCTGCCCTGATGAAGGCCAGTGGGGAACCTTCCTAAGAGAGTCACTTGAATTAGGGACTCTCAGATTCAGCAAAAAGCCAGCTTGGGTGGATGTGAATATGTGTCCTTGACTTGCATCTATCATGGGAAGGTCTTACTGAGTTTCAGGTGGTTGATATGACCTTCTAAAGGAAACAAGCCTACAATGAAGCACTGTGTACCATAAGCCCCTTGTTCCTGGCAGCAGAGCCACTGTTCTTCAGGTCTGGTCTTAATATACCTGTGCTTTGAGGGCTGCTGCCAGTGTAAATAAACATTGTACAGACTTCCGCCCTTGCTCACTTCCTTCATGGTAGCTGCAGTTTGTTCATAATCATTGGGCACATCTGAGCAGAGGAAGCCTGGAGTGTAGAGTGCCTACCTAAAGATGCAAAGCCAGCGTGGGGGTGCGGAGCAGGGTCAGGGATGTGTTTGGGAATGCACAGCCCGACAATGGCAAAATGGCAGGGCAGCAGGGTCCAGAGAGAAGACCTGGAGGCCAGGGACCAAAAAGTACATTTGCCCACTCAAAAATAAATACACTGAAAGATGCCATATATTTTCAAAGATACTAAGATAACTTGAAAGCCCTGTTTTGTGAAATGTTAGTGACTTTAAAAATAATCAAAAAATAAAATCATTTGTGCGTTAGGGTGGAAACAATTTGAAAGAAGTGAAAAGGTAAAAAAAAAAACACACAAAAAACCATTCACTCAGGCAAATGGATGTGTTTATTTAAATATTTATACAAAAATGGCCCTAAGAGCAGCAGATACACTTTCCCAGTGGCATTTTTTTCCTTTTGGTATTGCACACTAGAGAATATTTTAGATTCTTGTTAACTCTCAAAGGTAGATCTCAACGCTATATTTTTAAGCTATATAACTTGTACTATGTCAACAGTGAATCTTATTTGAGTCACAGTATCATCCAAATGAGCACGAGAAGTCAATTAGTAAGAATGTCATTTTAAAAAGTCAGAGCTTTAAACTTGAATTATTTACATCGTTACCTTATAAAATTCAACTCACTTTAAAGATTCTTAAAATATACAATTATGTACTTTCTACTTTAAACAAAATGAAAAATGTTTTGAGTATCAAACAGTATATTATCTACCTTGTAGATACATCTTCATTTAACACTTGCCACTGTTAGCAACTTTTAAATGACATGTAACTAGAAGAAAAGCTACTCTGAAATTGCTTTAGCTAATAAGTCATGATACACGTGACTCTATTCTATCTGGAAATAACATTCATACGATGTAACAATAACAGTAAAATCTTAGAAATTCATTTTGGGTTAATGAATTCCCCTCAGAAAGCAGCTCTTTGGAACTTTTTAGTAATACTAAGTGAACTCCATCACTATAGTCCCTTGACCTGCCTTAATTCGGGCTCACCTGGATTCTGGGTTAAGGAATAATCTATTTATTACATTACCGAGGCCTGGAAACTTACAAATAGGACAAATGTAGGTAACCCCAACTGAATTCTGAGAGTAACTGAAAGTCATAATTGTATCTGTCAACAATAGCCACGTTTCCATCCCTATTCTATTTACAATACTTTATATAATAAATAACTTGCAGCAATATGCTGACATCCACAAATTTCTAGAGGTTTCTTATTACTTTCATTCATGAAGATACCCGCTATAAGTTTATAGTGTGAGAAAACAGCATTTGAGAGTGGTTAGAACTTTTCCATCATGGCACAAACGTGAAGGCCTCATCGGGACTGGAAATGTTTCGGGCCTGAGTGTTTTTGTTTCCTTGCACTAGTACAAGGAACTGTCGTTGTTGAGAAGGCTGAAAGGGGAGGGGAGCTTCTTCTTGACTTGCGGCCTGGCGACCCCAACCGATGGCAGGCACAAGGTGCTGGCAGACTTCTGTCTGTTCTTGTTGGTGCCCCAACTCAAGAAAGAAAGCTTTTTTGAGATTTTCTTGGTTTTGTCAGTTTTATCATCGTCATCACCTATGGCCAGGCAGATCATGGAGTAAGTCTTCTGCATTCCCACAGAGTACGTGGCACACTTACTATGCTGCACACAGAAAGGGAAGACAAGGGGGTGTTAGAAAACCCTCAAGATAGCCAACAAATGACCGCAAAGTCTGAGGCTCGCAGTCTGCACTCACAGCATCCCCTTTAAAGTTAAGCTGATATACTTTGGAAACTCGGGTGACTTAACGCTTACACAGAATTAAACAAGGACAATTTTTCAGGAATATACTCAATCGCAGTAAATTAAGCTAAGGAACACTACTCACTTTTTCTGAGGTTCTTATGTTTGAAAAAGTAATACATACCCATGGTCAACAATATGAAAATACAGGGGACAGTAGATGCCGCTCCTACCTTGGCTCAAGGCTCTTCTGACTGGACATGGCTTCCATTACACTTTTGGAGGTAATGTTCACATGCAGGTAACGGTGTCTGCATAAGTGCATGTCACCACGTGTCTTTCCTTAACAGGAACACACTACCCACTCTGCTTAGTCTGCGCTGGGCTTTCCTCGCCTGGTGAACCTTGGAATTCAGGCTGTGCCTTTAGGTATAGCTCAACTTCCTTCTCTCCAAAGACAACACAGAGTCCAAGGTGAGGGTACAATTAACTTTTTCCCCCTATTTAAGTGGTACAGTCCTGTGGTAAATACATTCACACAGTGGTTCAACCATCACTGTCATTTGTGTCTAGAATGGGGTCCTCTTCCCCAAATACGCTGTACCCATCAAACCCAACGACCAGCTGTTAAAGGACCGTGCGGGGCTCAAATAGGAAATCTGAAGAAACTTGTCTTCCGAACACTGCCCCATGGGTCCTTCCTGCTTGTAAGATTTGCTTATCAAGGTGGTTTTGTTTACTGAACATCTATGTTCCAGGCACTGAAATCAGGCCATTTATATGAGCAAGCAATAGATCTAAGTGGTTGGGCACACTGTTCATGATGTAAATCAAGGAATTTGAGTGATGCACCAACAGAGGGTGTTCACTGAGGACGTCCCTCTTGAGTGTGGCTCCTCTGGATGAAATTCCTCTCCCTTCTCTATTAAAGTGCCGTTCATTAATCCCACATGCTCTGCAGGACACACGCGTTCTCCTTAAAAACAAAACAAACTCCTGGAGGTAGGTTTAATGCCCGCAAACATTTTTCAACCTTCACCTGCTTAGAGTCCATCTGGCAGAATAGCTCCTCCCTTACAAACACTCTCAATGCTCTTAACACACTTCGACCAGTGAATGTCGGCTCCAGTTCAACATCTGCTGCCTCCCCCAGGCCCACATCTGAACAGCTGCACATTGATGAGGGAGGATATTTACCAAGATGACTCACTTCACTTCGCATTCTAACCCTGACCTCAAACCTGCTGGGCACCCCATTACCTGGTGCTCCTACATTTCCCTAGTAACTTTACTCCTTTTCTCTGTCAAGCCTCCCACATGCCCTCCTGATATCCTTGCCTTACACTTAATTGCATCTGCCCCAAAGACAAACCCTCCGGTGCTGCCGGATCTCATGCCCTCTCTCCTCCGGGTACTCGCTCCTTCTGCCAGACCTTCCCCAGCAGCACACAAGCTGGCTGTGCTACCTACACCCCCCCCCGCCACCTGGGAAAAGCTCTCCTCTTCCCGCTGTCTGTCTCCCCCCCCCCGCTCCCAGCTGCCACCCTAATTCTCTGCTCCCTTTCACAGGTCCTCCCTTCCTCCCATTACTTTTTCTCCCGTCCTCACCCAGCATGCTCCCCACTCACACCTTCCTGGGGCATCTCTCTGGGACTCTCAGGGCTTTACGGAACAGTCTGAAACCACTAGGTTGGAACCTAGTCAACTTGTACATTACACAGGTGAGGAAACTGAGGCCAAGGGAGGGGTATTAACCTGCTGAATGAAGGCCACACAGCTTGTTAATGGCAGACAAGGCTTAATTCCAGGTCTTTTGATTCTAAGCCTAGGATTCCACTCCACGGGCAGTTTTCACAGTGGGCTCCACAGGCTCTCCCGGGGACCCCCACGGTGATCCGGGGAGTCGGGGACCAGGTACGCAATCGGCAGGAGTGCTCAGCTTTATTCTCATTATTTGGTTTGGTGTGAAAAAAAGGATCAGCAGTTAAAAATAGCGCTCAAACATGATCTAAAATCCTTGCTTGGGGAAATGAATGACCACATCATGGTTATTATAACATCTATTCTGAACTGAAACATATTCCATGCCGGGTGCTGTTCTCCCGACTCTCCTGAGGCTGAGCTGTTCCCTGCCTTGCCCGAGGTCACAAAACTGTGGCACAGCCAGGACTCACATCTAGACAGTCCAAGGAGCTCTAACCATCACATCCACTGGCCTCCCTCAGAGACAGGACAAGACTGACCGCCAAGTCTGTCTGTCTCTGCTCAGGGGCGGGGCCTCCCTCCCTGCATGCTATCCACTCCAGCCCTTCGGCCCAGCGCCCAGACTTTTATTCACTCTCCTTTTTGGACAAACCTCTTTGCTGTTTCTGGTTGGGACTTTACTTGTCCAGCAATTCTATGGATTCTGCCCGGGAAAGTGGCATTTCTTATCATCCCTTGTCCAAGGTGCTCTGTGAACCCCTTGACTTCTTTGTCTTTATTTTTTAAATTAATGTAACTCACTATAAAATCCACTATGTTAATGCGATTCAGTGGCTTTTAGTATAGTCGTATACACTAAAACATAGTACAACCACCACCACTGACTAATTTCAGAACATTCCCATCCCCCCAGAAACTCCGTCCCCGCGAGCAGTCCCTCTCCATTCCCCAGCGCTCCAGCCCCAGCCCCTGGCAACCATGAATCTACGTTCTGTTTCTGTGGACTTGCCTATTCTGAACATTTCTTACCAGTGAAATCACACAATCCACTCAGCTTCCAACCCTCCCTAATCTGAGTCCTGTTGCCATCTCTCCTTTTGTCCGTTTGTCTGGCTGCTAAATATAAAAGACACAGCTCCTCCCCTGTCAGTCTTTACCTCTTCACTTGTGCAAAGCAGCCAACCGCTCTCTGGGCAGAGTTTTCCTCTCGATTCGAAGCTCCTTTTTATCCAATCTCTCTGAACTCGCCTTCACAACTTCCTCAGCGCCCACTTCTCTCCCAACCTCCAGGTGCCTGCAGTGTCTCCGAGTCTAGCCCTCAGCCCTCGGCCCCTAGCAGGCAATCTCACTGAGTCTCTTCCAGCTTTCAGTACCATCTCTGTGCTGAAGACTCGCACATGAAGCTGTGATTTCTCCCTTGAACTAAAGATCTGAACATCCGGTGGCCTACATTTATATTTGGATGTCTAACGGCATATGAAATAGTCAAAGCATTCGTCTTGTTTTCTCCGCCCTCTGCCTCCCTCACCACCACCCCTGTTCACCATTAGGAAACATGATGCAGCTGTTCAAGCCAAAAAACGGAGGAGTCTTCTCTCTCTCTCTTTTTTTACACAAATCATCTACAAACCTCCAGCAGCTCTACCTTCAAAGTATGTCTCACCTTTGCACCAAAGTATGCAAAGTCTGCATCCACCCCCACCGTCTCCCCTCCTAGTGTACAACACATCACTGGCCTGGTCGGCCAGCCTCCCAGCAGAGACATCCTTCTAAATAAATATCCGATCACTTCCTCCCTCTTCTGAAAACTGCAATGCCTCCAAAGTGCCGCCCCCCCCCCCCCCAATGAGGCCCTGTCTCCCTCCCACCTCATTTCCTGTCATCACAATGGTCCGGCCCTCTTTTTGTTCCTCTCTCAGGAGAAACCTATTCCTGCCGCAGGGTCGCCCCGCCTGTCAGTTGCCCCTGCCCCTCCCACCACGCTGCTCTTGTACCTTTTCAAATATAAGAGGTTTCTCCTTGTCACTCAGGTCTCTGAGCAAGTCCCGTCTGGAGGAGCCTCTCCCTATCCCCAGTCATTCTATTTTGCTACACATTTTATTTTCTTCACAGCACTTACCAAAATCACAACCACTTACTTGCTTATTTACTGCCAGCTTTGCAGGGGCGGGGACCTAATCTGTCTAGTTCCAACAGCTCCAACAGCTAAGAAGGGCCTTGGCACACAGCTCGTGCTCCATCAATATTTGTTGAGTGAATAAATGAATGTTGTTACGAGGTGAGTGTCTAAGAGACATTATTAAATGTGAAGAGTATGTACAGATGATTGCTCCCGCCTGGGGAAAAAAGGACACAGCTGTGCATCTGAACTTGCGCAAGCGCCACACACGTCCCGAGATCTCAGGGAACAGCAGGGGCTGTCTCTGATGCGTGGAGAGGGTCTTTAACATGACGAGCCCTTCTGTGCCATTTCAATATTTGTTTCTTCCAGGAGTTTGTATTACTTTTGTCATTAAAGAAGATATAATGAGAAAAACAAAGCAACTGGTTATTTTGTCTACAGGATCAAAACTAAAAGTTTTCCAGTGCTCTCTCACCCAAGCCAAGCTCACTGCGGCAATGACAAGCCTAGGGGTTCAGTCATTTGTGGATGTTACCAGTGCAGGAAGGGGGAAGAGGGCCAGGGAGGACCTCCGTGGCTAGATCACGGCGGCCTCACCCCACTCTTCCATTACTGCTGAGGGGTCAGGACTCACCATGGATGAGGTGGGGTCCAGGAGGCTCACAACCTTCATCTCAATGTCGTCTTCACCGAAGCTCCTCAGCAGTTTCATCACCTCGCTCACTGTCAGCCACTTACAATCCACAGTTTGAATGGAAACAATATAATCCCCTTCCTTGGCTCCTGCCAGCTGCAAAAGGATAATTTAAATAAAGGTCAACATTCTGTTCATTCAATTTCTGAAACAGTTTCCAAGTTTATTAACGAAATAATTTTTTGCACAAAGTAATCATTTTCTCCGTGGGCATGCAGCATCCAGGAGAGGCCCTTTGCATAACGTCAGGCCTTTTGCATAAAGGAACATAAAGGAACCCTGAATTCATTCACGCAGATACATTTGTTCGGGCAGCTTTCTCTGTATTTTCCCAGCCTCACTGCCTGCAAAGGTGCCAGTGAGTTTCGCTCCCAGCCCAGAATGGCACACACTTACCGAGGCAGAGGAGTACGGATCCAGGAAGTGGACTTGAACCGGGGAGTTTCCTCTCAAGGTGAACCCCAAGTCCCCTTCTTCTGCAGTGAAGTGAATGCTTCGAGGGGGTGTCCATCTCTTGTTAGCAGAAAACACAGACAGAGGGCCCTGTGGAACAGGGCATCGTTAGCTGTAGGATCTGAAGGCCGAGTCGGGCGACAAACTAAAGGAAATGTCGCCTTGCTGTCCTTGCAGAATTCATCAGGCTTTGCTCAAGGACTATGTAATGACACCATCTGGGACAATACGTGCTACAGCAGTCAGACAGAAACATTCATTGCCACTTTCTCTAAAAGAGCGAATATATTTTAAACGAAATTATCTTTTGGCTAGTGCTGACCGGTGTGGCTCAGCTGGCTGGGCAACATGCTGCAAAGTGGCCTGGGTCACATGTTCAGTGCCTGCTGGGGCACACGTGAGAGGCAGCCAACTGATGTTGCTCACATCAACGTTTCTGTCCTTCTCTCTCTCCTTTCCTTCCCCTCTCTCTAAAAATGAATAAAATCTTTTAAAAAATGATCTTCTAAAAATGGCCTTAATGAAAATCTCTAGAAATCTAAAATATCTAAAAATGGCCTTTTGCAACAAGTAAAAACTGTCCCATAGTCATTATGAAATAAACATTCAACATACCAGTTTCTGGAAGAAGTCTGTTGCTGTCACCTTGGAGAACTGTGGCAGTATAATTTCAACCTCTTGCTCAGTTTTCGCTAGAAAGTAAGATGAAAAGGGAAAGCAAAGATGTTTCTGCAGTTAGAGGTTATCCTGGAAGACTCGGGTTGACATCTTCTCTGAGGGAAGAGGAAGCGAATCCTGCTCCTGCTTGGTTCAGACAAGTAGTACAGGAGACGGACTGCTGGTCAACCCCCCGGCCCAGTGCGAACTGTATCTTCCATCTGGGCAGCTCCTGTGAGCCATGCCCTACGCTGGGGCTGGCACAGAGTAGTGACAGACACGTTCCCTGCCTTCCAGTAGCTTATTTATAGTCTAAGGGCTTCCTTTGGCACTCATACAGCTCCACCAAAGTTATCTATGTGTTAGGCGAGGCTGTTATGGGATGAAGCGCCATGTCTGTCAGCACAAAGTCCTGCAAGAGATGCGCTTCTTTTCATTATTAGTGTGTAAAGTGACGATCTGACAGCAAGCAGTGGGTTTGCCAAATTGTGTACACCAAGAGCACAAATCTCCATGCATTTGTGGCAGGCCCAACCCACCGTTACCACGAGGCTAGTTGGCTTCTCAGAAATGATCCCAGAGCAGACCGAGAACACATAAACAACAGTAGAAAAAGAAAACTTGGGCCTTGGCTCAGTGGATAGAGCACTGGCCTGGTCACTGGTTTGATTCCCGGTCATGGCACATGCCTAGGATGAGGGCCGGGTCCCCAGTTAGGGGTGTACAAGAGGAAACCAATTGATGTTTCTCTCATACATTGATGTTCTCCTCCCTCCCTTTTCCCTCCCTCCTCCCTCCCTCCCTCTCTCTAAAAATAAATAAATCAAATCTGTAGAAGGCTTGAGGAACCAAAAAAGTACCACCAAGGAGGAACACAGCCCTCCAGTAACAGGATGACCCTGTGGCTTCTTACAAACTGCCCGAGACAGGGCTGGGCTCGGACAGGCTGTTCACCCACTGAAAGAGTGGTGCCACCGCCCCTGGACTTCACCAGAAGCCAGGTGTCTCCCTCCCTCAGTGGCGGTTATTTCTCTATGTCCTGGCCACAGAGCACATGGTGTGGACAAGGGAGCCAAGGATGGGGCCACAGTGTCCGTGAAAGAGACGCCCTGAGCACATTTCCTGATTCCACCAGTCCACTTGGTCACCAGGAGCAAGGACTTTGTCTCATCCCTGTGATAAGGAGAAGATCAGCACTTCCCTCACACAGTTGGAAGGGGAGCGGAATAAGATTCTGTATACAAATGGTGCTTACTACTAGGCCTGGCAGACCTCGTGTACATTGGGAGACTCCATCAGCTAAGGATACTGCAGACAAGCCCAGGATTCTAGCTTGAGCTAGAATCTAATTCTGGAGAACCGTGTCCCTGAAAATTGGGGGTGGCACTCCAAAGACTGGGGACAAGGATTTAGGAAGTAGCATGGAAGGCGGTATAGTCGAAGGGAGTTCCCTCAACTGAGCCATGCTCTATCCCCTTCCCCTAACTCCTGGAAAGACCCTGGTCATTCCTCACTGTCAAGCCACCTCTCAGGGAGGTCCTCCCACTCCTGACCTCTGGGGCAGAACCGGCTGCCACCTCCCCAAGGGGAGCAACAACTGTCCGGTCCGCCTCCGCGCTCCCAAACCCAGGACAACGCTCAACGCTTTGGAGATCCTTAAAAAGGGCTCAGGTGCGCAACCTCACTTACATGTGGAATCTAAGACAGTCCAGCTTATCGAAGAAGAGGGCGGAATGCTGGGTGCCAGGAGCAGGAGGAGGGGCAAATGAGAAGATTTTGTCAAAGGGTACAAAGTTTCGGATATACAAGATGAGTAAGTTCTAGAGATCCAACATATAGCGTGGTGAGCCCAGTTAACAATACCATATGTACACTTAAAACTTGCTACGAGGGTAGAGAGTCAGTGTTCTCTCTCTCTCTTACACACACACACACGCGCACACGCGCGCACGCGCGTGATGGACTAGGTTCTGAACTATTTCCCCTGCATCCCTGGTTTCACTGTATCAGAAAAAGTTTTACTTCTGCCCTGGCTGGTGTAGCTCAGTGGATTGAGCGCGGGCCTGCGAACCAGACAATCGCGGTTTGATTCCCAGTCAGGGCACATACCGGGGTTGCAGGCCGGTTCCCAGCAGGGGACGCATGAAAGGCAACCGTACATTGATGTTTCTCTCCCTCTCTCCTTCCCTTCCCCTCTAAAGATAAATAAATAAAATCTTAAAAAAAAAGTTTTACTTCTCATTTAATAATAAAAATAATTTTTGTCCTAAAAGAAAAAAGCACATCGGTGCTAATAAAAGACCAACTACACAGGGGAAGAGCAACCTAGGAGAGGGAATAAGAACGCACTGGCTTTCAACCCACGGAGCCCACGTTGTGCAGCTTCCCAGAAGGCAGCGGGAACGTGGGTGGGAGTAGAGTGTAGCCAAAATGCCGAGGTGAAAGGTCGTTTCAGAGGTCTCCTGACTAGAGGGGATGGCTGGAACCCCAAAGGAAGCAGAGAGGCTTTGAGACAAGGAATCTTCGAGGAAGTGAACCAGGAAGAGTGGACCCTTCAGAATGCCAGGAAGGGTGGGCGGGATTGGGCCAGAGGAACAGTCAGCAAAGAGGGAAGAGAGGGCGGTGGGAATGGACAAGGTGGCAGGGTGGCCCGACACCAAGGGAGGAGCATCGAAGGGTAGAAGGGGAGTCAAAAGTCACGAAGGGGTTGATGCGGACAAGACCATAAGGAAGCCCCTGGACTCAGGCACAAGGATAGGGGCAAGAGCGGCACTTTGCCCCCTCCTGGTGCCCAGCACATCCCGAGTGTTTGCCCAGCCCCTAAAGAATAAGCAAATAATGACTGTGCACCCCGAGTGGCCCTGCCTCACACAGGGCACACTCAGCACCTGGCACTCACCAATAATGTCGGCAGCATCGATCAAGTCCAGCAGGTCATCGTCCTCCTGATGCTGAGTGTACTTGAGCTGGGACCGCTGGTGTGCCACCGCCAGCACCTCCTGCAGCAGTTCTATGTTGCGGAGCTTCTTGCACAAGCTCACCTCCCGCACGGACTCCTCGTGATGGGCAATGGCTTTGCGTAGATGGGACTTGCCTGCCAACAGAAAAGCAGCACCATGTGGCGTGTGTCCTAAACTGCAACAAAAGCACCTCCAGAAGAGTCAAAGTGCCCAGGGATCAGCCCGGAAAGGTGGCTGTTCTCTTTTCTGAAGACTCTCCCCACGGCTCAAGTCCCTCTGAAATACATACGCAACGTGCTCACTCACATTCATAATCACCGTCCAGCAAACATACAGCGAATGTCCTAGGCAGCAGAGATAAAGCAGTGAATGAAAACTAGCCTCTGCACCCATGAAGTTTACGTGCTGGTGTTTGAAGACAGGTAATTAACCAGCAAAGCAGTAATGATGGAATGTGTGGCAATCAGGTGATGGAGAATGTGAACCAGAATAAGCACATGTGGTGAGAAAAGACCGGGAATGGAAAGTTGCTCTTTATGATGGGTGTTCAGAGAAGGGCTTTTTGCAGGTAACTTTTGAGTAGAGCCCTGAAGGAAGTAAGGGAGCAGCCAGGAGGATATCTGACAGGAGAGCACTCCTGAAAGAGGACATGTCAACAAGGAGCTTGGGGTCGGGCAGAGAAGGGTGAGGAATGAGGGCAGAGGGGCGGGGGTGGGACTGTGGCCGGCCGGGCCAGGTGAAGACTCCGTCTCCCACTGTGGGTGAGATGGGGGCCCATCACGCTGTGAGCAGCGGCTGAGGGGATCTGAGCCGCGTGAATGGACTATGAAGGAACAAAGAGGAAAGCAGGAGGACCAGCTATGAGGCCACAGCAAAAAGCTGAGCAAGCTGTGTAACCCCTCTGGGCTTGTTTCTGCAACAGAAAACTGGGGGTCAGGCCGTACCTATCTCACAGGATTATATGAGGTTTCAGCAAGTCAGCGTCAGTTTAGCAGTGCTATATGAGTGTGGCTTGGACCAGAGAGGCAGGGTAAGCAGTGGCCGGTTTTCGAGATAGAGCTGATGGGATTTGCTCATCAGTGGTGGGGAGGCGAGAGTGAGTGCCAGGTCACCGGCCTACAGACCTGGGAGCGTGCAGCTGCCATCACGGAGATGGGGACACTATGTGGGGACTTGGTGGTAGGGGGCAGATTTGCACATGGAAACAGCTATTCACTCTGAGACTTGGCAGAGACCAAAGCAGGGCAATTCATTACCCACTCTCAGGTGTGACCCTGAGAAAATGAATTGCCGTGTCCTTCCACACTAAAGATGCTGACGGACTATCAAAGCTCCAGCTCCACTGGGGAGACCTGAGCCCTTGCAGTACCTGTGGGAGCACAGCTCTGGACGCTCACAGAGATTAGAAGGCATTGGCCACAATGATTCCGGACCCCAAGTCTCCAAGCCCTGCCCTGGGGACACTTCTGGAGTTGTCTGTAAGCAGGACCAGCTGGCCATCAAATGGGGCACGAGGAGGAAGGGGACAGGAAAGCCAATACACACCAAGCTGTCGGCGCTGGTGAGCATTTTTCAGGGTGGCTAAGGGCGTCATTCCTTCTGGCATGTGGTCATAGAGCTGGGACAGGCACTTCTCCTGGTGGTCTTCATCTGTACCAGGCTTCACTGCAACAAGAGCCACAGGGTAAGTCCCTTCTCATGGTCACGGCTAAGGACTTGGGAGACAGTGCCACAGACTTTCTTTCAACCACATCTTCAGGTTCCTTTATTCTCCAGTTTTACAAGGCACTTGGGATAACACATCTCCCTCCTGCCTTTGGACACGCTCCAGGCAAGACAGCCCACAAGACTTTGTACACTTGGGGCTCCTATTTTGGCTTTGAAGCCCCTCTCCCACCCCTTCCGAACCATCTATTTCCCAGAACCTTCTAGCACAGTCTCGCCTCAAGCCTCTGGTAGCCTCGGTGCCTGCACCCTCCCTGGCACGTGCGCCCCTCTATCTCGGCAGACCACTCAGCACTGACTGCACTCAGCACTTTCAGCCTCCGCCCAGAGCTCAGGCAGTGTCCTTGTTCTAGCTGTGCTTTCCTGCTGTGGCCAGCTGGAAAAGGTCTCCTCAGGGCTCAGTGTCCGACTCAGATGAAAAAGTGCCGTGGCTACACCAGGGAGTCCAACTGCTGCCTCCCTGGCGCCTCTACCGCAGTTGTCGCAGCGGTGCGCTCCCACCGGTTTACGTGACCCGCCCTGCCGAGCAGCCTGCACAATAACATACTAGCAGCAGCAGCGAACACTTTCTCAGAGCCCACTACATACAAGGCGCCACTCAGCTTTGCAGGTAGGCACTCCGTTTTCACAACAGCCCTGTGAGACAAGGTTCCCTTCATATTCCCATTTTAGAGATGAGAAAACTGAGGCAGAGAGCAGCTCAGTAGCTTGCCCAACATGGCACAGCTGGTAAATAGCAGACCTGAGATAATGAACCTAGGCAGCCTGGCTCCAGAGGTTGTACTGTCCATCACACTGGGAGCTGTCTTGATTAGTACTGATCACAGCCAAAGTCCCACCCAACCTGAGATCAGAGCACTTACCTCCAGCTGGAAATTGAAGGAGGTGACAAAAACTCAACAACCAAGACATATAACAGTTTAATACAAGTTTCTAAATATCAAAATCAATGCAAAAATCCACGTTAACAAAAATCTAATTTTTTTTTGTTCCTGGCTCTAATGTGGCTCATCACAGTATTGTTACTAATGCATTAATTTTAATTCGTGTAAAATGGTGCAATAAAATTTTATCTTGATTGCTGAATTTTGGCGCATGCCCTTGACTTTGCGCCTGAAGCAAATGCCTCCTAGTCCTTGCCCTGGTCCTGACCCTGTTCTAGACCCTGAGGCTGTCAGCTGCATCCCAGGCAGAAGCAATGCTTCCCCTCTTCCTTCCACAGGGGAAACACAGAACACCTAGTCCCACCCCGACCTGTGTGACAGTTGCCTGGGCCAACATGCACTTCCCATCCTCTGTCCCCAGGCTGTGAGCATCTCCAGGGCAGGCGGAGAGCTCCCACGCAGCTCAGAGTCTCCTGGAGAGAGGACAAACACAGCCCCGACCAAAGCCCAGAGCCTCCGAGCCCCTAAGCCTTACGCTGGTGGTCGATGAGGAGGGTGGCTACAAAGTAGTGGGCCAGGGCTCCGTAGTGGTGGGCCTTCACACAGGCCACGCTGGCCCAGGAGTAGGGGATGTTCTCCTTCACTGGCGCCTGGCTCATGGCTGCATGCAGTTGCTGATAGACCTCTCCCACCTGCAAGAAAAGGGACGGGACGTTGGGAAGGAAGAGTTTGGCAGAGGGGCCCTCACGCACCAGAGCTGCAGAAAAAGAGCCCTTTCTTCTACGCAGCAGCCTTTGCCAGAGGCCACTCCAGAATCTGGGAGCCACTCCAAGAGTTCTTCATTCTGTCAGTGTCAGCGTTAACAGGGAGATCAGGCAGCTGTCATTATGCTGGGTTTTAGGCCAAGCTGCAGATGGAATCAGCGATCCATATCTGAAACACTAGTACTTTCCAAGAAAATGCGAGCCAGCGCTCTGGCCGGGGTGGGCATGCCGCCCAAGCCATGGGCAAGCTGTGGTGGGATGTCCCCGCTGCTTCCACTGGGCCTGTACCGATGCACCCTGCCCACCCCGAAAGTCAAGAGAACCAGGAGGGCTTACCTTGGCAGCCTCCTGAGCCACCTTCACCAGCATGAAGAACTCGTTCTGGATCCCAGGAAGACAGATTTTCTCAAACACACTCTCTTGGGCCTGTGCAAGCATCATTCTGACCAGCACATTGAGCATGGCAGGGCTCATGTCATAGCTCGGTGTGTGAGTAAATGTCTCTTTCAGGTGGTTTAAAACCCCTACAATTGGAAATTTTTTGCACATTATTTGGGGCCACATTTATTTCACCATGCTGCACAGAAATATAGAGAATTGACAGAAGCAAAAATCCTGGAGCATCTTCAAAAATATGATTCTCAATTACCAGGAGATCCAGCAATTCCACTCCTAGGTACACACACCAAAAACTGACAGCGGGGACTGAAACGAGCAGGCAGGGACCAAGGATCGTGGCAGCACCTTCCCCCAGAGCCAAAAGGCAGAAACAGCGGAAATGTCCATTGATAGACTGATGGATGGATACACGAAATGTGGTATGAACATGCAACGAAATATTTTTCAGCCTTAAACAGGAAGAAAATTTGGACACCTGCCACAGTATGGAAGAAGATATTATGCTAAGTGAAATAAGCCAATCGCAAGGACAAACGGTGATTCCACTGACATGAGATACCGGAATAGTCTGGAATTCGCAGAGATAAAAAGTGGAATGCTGTTTGCCAGGAGTTTGGGACTGAGGGGTGGGGAGAGGGAATGGAGCGTTACTGTTTAACAGGAGTGGAGTTTGGGACGATGGGGAGGGTTGCACAACAATGTGACTGTGCTTAATGCAGATGAACTCTTAGAAATGGTCAAAATGGTCAGTTCATTATGTTATCTTTTGTCACAGTTTCAAAAAAGATCTGACTCTCCTCCAAACACTTACATCTGTATCAGGAAAGGAAACCAGCCTGCTTCCATCCTTTCCTCTCTCTCCTGGGACAACTGAGAAATTCCAAACCTGGCCAGGCACTGGAGGCAGGCAGAGCAGAAAGCAGGTCGGGGGAATGAGCGCAGGGCCCGCAGTGGGGCAGGCTCACACTGAACACCTAGGTCGTTCCGAAGAGTAGGGTTTTTCCCTAGGGTCCTAGGAAAGATCAGCTCAGCCAGTTCCAATAGAAATTTCCTTGCTGTAGCCCTTGGCTGACTTTTTTTACACTTTAGAAAATTAACTGTCACAACGCAAACAGACATCAACCTGCAGCTAAAATAAAATCTCCGCCACGAATCCCATCTGACTGGTTCCTCGGGTTTTGCCTCCAAGCACAGACTGCTTTGCGGAAGGATGGCAACTACCGCAGGCTGTGTGCTCCTCCCTGGCTGTCTCCACTCTGCTCTCAAGCTGCATTCTGTCCAGGTCTCTAATCTCAGAGACAGGTACCTGCTCAAGATTCCTCAGAATGATGAGTCCAGGAAAGGGTTTACAGTGAAAGAAATCAGGTCCTGCAGGGAATCGGTATACTGGTTCATCCCAAGTATGCCAGACACAGGCCCTGCTAGAGGGGAGTAAGGCAGGACCCCTGGACACCCATGAGCCACGTCAGGCCCACCCACTGCACCAGGCCTCCAATCCCTGGTCCTCCTTACGTCAGCGCTAAGTGTCGTTTGACAAAGGGCTGAGAAGAGCGACCTTAGGTAGGCGGTTGCTGGTTCATAGAATCAGCAAAATATAAAGGCATAAATAGTAATAGGTACTAGTGAAGCACACATAAGTTTTTAAAAAGCCTACTTTTTTGCTACTCGGAAAAACTTATTCTCTTCCTCAGTATAGTGTTCAAAGGAACATTTCATTCACTACCACCCTTGAGGCCACTCGTTTGGAAAAGATTAATCATTAACCACAGGATTCACTGTGTACACGAGCCATGACCCAGACCCAGACTGTGCCAACAGGGTTTAAACCAGTAAGCAATTCTCTTGGTGGGAAATTACACCAGCGCTGGAAACTGGCCTGGTCCTTTCAGGCCCAGGAGACCAAGCGTGAGCGTGGGAAGGACCCACAGACCCACAGACCCACTTCGGTGGGGGTACCCAGTGCCAACTGTCAGGGCCACGACTCTATCCCAGCAGCCCCCCCCGAGACACACCTGCAGCTCTCTGAAACGCGTCCACTGCGCTCTCCAGCCCGGCTCGCGTCTTCCGATTGCACCGGGTCCCAATCTGTGTGTAGAGGGCTCCAATGTTAAACAGAATGCTGGCCTTTTCCAGTAACAAGTTCTGCTGGCTGACTGGGACCCCAGTGAGGGAGTCATACCTATTTAAAAGAAATGTAATGTGTTGTGAGAATAGAGATGACTTGGCTAGTTAATGCCATTTTGAGGGTAAAAAAATGATGAAAATTCATTTTTTGAATAAAATTCAAAGATGCACATGCAACAAGGCTTTCGTTTCCAAACAAGATGATGGGTCTGATCCTACTGAAGACATCCACAACAGCACACAAAAATAAGCATTCACAACCAAGATGTCCTTCAGTAGGTGAATGGATTAAAAAGCTGTGGTATGTCCATACAGTGGGATATTATTCAGCACTAAAAAGAAAACAGCTGCCGAGCCATGATAAGACATGCAGGAACATTAAATGCATATTGCCAAGTGAAAGAAGCCAATCTGAAAAGGCTACATACTGTACGATTCCGACTATATGACATTCTAGAAAAGGCAAAACAATGGAGACAGAGAAAGAATCAGTGGTTACCAAGTTTCAGAGGGGAGAGGGGAGGGACGAATAGGTGGAGCACACAGAAATGTTAGGGCAGTGGAACTACTCTGCACACTCTATCACTAGGTACCAGTCACTACACATTACCAGGTCCATGTAGAATGGACAACACCAAGAGCGAGCCCCGTCGACTGTGGACTCAGGTGACAGTGTGCCCACCGTGGCCAATGTGCCCCTCTGGTGGGGGTGTTGACATTGTGGGGGGATGCAGGGGGTTTACAGAAAATCTCTGCACCTTCCCTTCAATTTTTCTGTGAACCTAAAACTGCTCAAAAATACAAGGCTTCCCCTAAATAAAATACAGCAATTACAAACCCCTCATTATTCTCGCTCAAGTCTAAAGGAGTCAGGATTTGTTTTAAAGTTCACACATCAAGCAGCACGTAGACATGGAGCTTCTCCTTAATGCAAGACTGAGGTGACATCGCCTTTAGAACCTGGACCAGGGCAGGCCGCCTCTGCCTTTCGTTTCAAAGGGCGGGCACCATAGGGGCCAGCTGTGGCGTAAGTTAACTCTGAATGGGACCCTTACCGTTGGGGTTTAGCCTCCTCTCACCCACGCTCAGAGAGCAGGTAGAGCATCTCTAAGGTTTTTACACAACACTAATCTTTGAGGATACCAACTCTGGCCCTGACTGATGTAGCCCGGTGGATTGGGCACCGTCAAACTGCAAACCAAAAGGCAGCCAGTTCAATTCCTGGTTCTGGCACGTGCCTGGCTTGCAGGTTTGGTCCCAGGTTGGGGGCACACGAGAGGCAACTGATCACTGCTTCCCTCACACATCAGTATTTCCCTCCCCACCTTTCTGCCTCTCTTCCCCTCTCTCTAAAAAATAAACAAATAAAATCTTTAAAAAAAAAAAGAAAATATCAAGTCTGGCACTGGCTGGGTAGCTCAGCTGGTTGGAATACTGTCCCAATATGCCAAGGTTGGGTGTTTGATCCTGGGTCAGGGCACATACAAGAACCAACCAATGAATATATGAATAAATGGAACGAACATGGCTCAAGCTGGGTTGGACAGTGGGGAAATGAGAGGAACTATTGATATTTCTCTCCCTCTCTTTCTCTTTCCCTTCCCCTCTCTCTGAAAATAAATAAATAAAATATTAAAAATAAATAAATAAAGGGAACAAAAAATTGATGTTTCTCTCTCTCCATCTCTCCCCTACTGCCTCTCTCTCTAAAATCAGTAAAGAAAGAAAATACCAACTCTGTCAAGAACCAAATATTCTGCTTTGTTTTTAATTTACTTCTGTTTGCAGCCCTGTCATTGGGACAAAACCTGATTCCCTGCCCACACCCCATCTGGGACAAGAATCTCGCTTCTTGTTAGTTCTACCTCAGAGCCCTGACAATAAAATGAGCATGAAAAAAATGCCTCCTCTCCTCAGCTCACTTGTTCTGAGAAGCAAAAAGGCGAGGTCTGTTAGAGCCTTCTCCCCTGGGGTCCCCTCACAAGCACACACCAGTTTACCTGCACATCCTGTACAAAGGGGACGATTAGAAAGAGGGGCCCCACAGTGCAGAGGAGCCTGTGTGGCCACAGTGGGGCAGCACCACACAGACCCAGGCACCTACCAGGTAAACAAGATCCCCATCTGTCGGGTGGGTGGGAAGAACCGGCTCTCAACAAAGCCCAACTGGAGGAAATAACTCATCAGCAGTTCAACGCCGGCCTCATCCCTGCTGGGTGTCCGACAAGCCTGAAATGAAAGGAACCACCCCGGGAGGGAGCGGGTGGGTACCGAGCAGGTGCAGTGGAGGGGAGCAGGGGCTCCCGCAGCCTTCCTGTGGAGCTCGGGCCCTGCCACTGGTATCGGGAACCCTAGGAGGGGTGGGAAGGGCTGGGATGAACTCTGGAGTTCCAAATCCAGCCCCAGCTGTGCCAGGGGCAGGTCTCATCCTTTCTTTGGGCATATGTGACAAGTGGAACAGATGAATAAGCGGCCCCTCCTGATCACTTCCAAATACCTGCAATTCTATAAGATTTCAAGTGCCATAGCGACATATTCTAAAGACTCAAGCTCCAGCCACCATCTCCCCTCCCTGCTGCATGCAGAAACGTACTTGTCTCAGATCCATAAGATCTGCTATTTCATCTTCATACAGGTAGCTATCTTCACCGTAATGTTCCAAAATAAAATCCTGGCAGAAAAATGGGATAAGATAAAATTGAGATGGGAGTGGCATTCAAAACCATAATGGGGTAAAAGAGTAATGTCTAATGTGCTCCCTTTAAAAACACAAGTAGAATGCACTGCCTTGAGCCCCTGCTGCACCTGCGCGTGGCTGCGCACGGCGCCAGGGTCAGGTGCAGGCCCAGAGCACGTGCTTGCACATAACTGGGGCCTAATGCTCCCCACCCCGCCCCCTTTAACCCTTAGCCACATGGTGGCAAAAGAAAAAAGAAAAGCAAAAACAGAAAAAAAATAAGTAAATAAAAATTCATGTAGAATACATAGAAACCTGTGGAAGATTGCATACTGCAGTGATTTTCTGAGTGATGGGGTTTAGTTTCTTGCCTGTGCTTATGTATATTTCACACGAGGCTGTGTTTACTGATATTGGAGACGGAGGGAGGGAGAGAGACAGAAACACCCTGTGTGTGTCCCGGCCAGAGATCAAACCCACGACCTGGGTACGTGCCCTAACCCTTTGGTGTATGAGAGGACCCTGCGACTAACTGAGCCACCCAGTTCGATTCCCAGTCAGGGCACAGGCCTGGGTTGCAGGCCAGGTCCCAGGTGGGGGCGTGTGAGAGGCAACCACACACCGATGTCTCTCTCCCTCTCTTTGTCACTCTCTCCTCCTCTTTATAATAATAAATAAATAAACCTTAAAAAGAAAAAAATATAACGAGAACAATAAATTTCACAATAGCAACAAAAGCACAATATTTCTAGGGATAAAAATGTCATGAAGCTGATAATTATTAAACTTTGTTGAAGAACATTCATTCATTCTTTCCTTTAATTCATAAAATCATCAAAATAAGACAGATGTGGTCCCTGCCACCGCAAACGTGGCGTTTTTGGACATTACCAATTAAAAATATATTCATAGTTGAAAATGTACAAAATTGAAAAGATGAAATTTTGCCCAAATTAGGCTATAATTCTAATGAAATTTCAATTAAAACTCAAAAGTACTATTTTTGGAAAACCTCACAAAGTATGAAAGTAAAAATGTGGAAGAAAAGGTAAGAACTTCTTGAAAAGCACGCTAATAAAGGAGGCTGGCTCTATTTAGCGCTAAGACACGCAAGGACTAAACCAACAGTGGGAATGGACAGTGGAACCAGACATGGGTCTGGAACAGACAGAAGCAGACTCAAGAACAAGGTCTCCGACTACAGCCAGGACTCCACGGACATGGGACGGGCTGAAGCATCCAACGGGGCCAGGCAGGCAGGAAGAGGCACACACAAAACATGCCACAGACGTGAGTTTAGGAAAAGGACTGTGACAGTGGCGGGGACGGTGTGGAACCTCCAGAGCCACTGGAACCCCAGACCTGAAGAGTCCAGCGGGGGAAGGAGCTTGGAAACCGGACACGTGGGTGCCTGAGGTGGGTACTGAACACCCACCACAACCTTCCCTACAGAAATGCAAAAGGAAACCAGCTGAGGGAGCCAGGAATAAATGCCCGACTTCCCTCTCCTCCCACCCTCTCATATCCAGCTGGTGCTCCTCCTCCGTGGCCACACCCAATAGGAAACCACAGAGCAGGAGCCGGTTGCTGCCTCTTGGCGCAGAGCACGATGGAGGACGATGGGACAGCGGGAGGTGGGGAAGAAGGGAAGGAGACACTATCCAGCACCACGGATGAATTCTCCATTCATGGTTCAGGAGAAACTGCCTGCCCCTTTGGTGGAAATAAAAAGTTAAAGCCTTACACCTCACATTTTACTGCAAAACAAATTCTAGACAGATTGAAGATTTGATGTTAAAAATGTTTAAACAAAGACCTAGGAGAAACAATACCAAAATATTTATGACATCTTGATGTAGGAGAATGCCGTTTTAAAGAAATCAGCAAGACAGAATTGTAAAAGGAAGGAGTGATAAGTTTAAAAACATAAAACCTATATGGACAAAAAATATGTGTAAACTTTTTAAACTGGTTATTGCTTATATAAGTCAAAGGAAAGAATGTACTGAGAGAAATATGTGCACTACATATAGCCAAGGGCTCTTGTCCTTCACGTGTTAAGAAAAACGGCTGCAAGTAATAAGAGCAACAAGCTGAAAAGCAAGAAAGGACAGAAACAGTCATTCTGAACAGGAGAAATGTGAGGGGCACGTAAACATATACGAGAATGTACTCAAGTCTATTTCTGATAAAAAATGCAAACTATATACCATAAAGTATCACTTTTGCCTGATTTCACAATAATCAAAAAGACAGTTTTTAAAAATGAAAGTGATGAGTGATGCCGAGTGTGTAATCAAAGATGCAGGAAAATAAAACACAGGGAAAGGCAGGACCATTTCTGGTGGGAAATTAGATGATGTCGTTAGTATCTTTGACCTACCAAGTTCACACCCAGAAGTTTATCCAAAGGGAGTACTCAGCAAAGTGTGCAAAACTGCTCATAGAGAGCGGCTGACAATAGCGAGTATTTGGTGGCTGTAGTAGGAAATTAACAGCTACCTAGTTTGGCAGGGAGGTGCACCCCGCTGAGCCTCATCCGAGGACGGAGTCACACCCCCTTGTGAGGTGGTCCCGACTGGGAAGAGCCTGGTTTCCGAGAGGAAGTGCTGAGCAAGTTGCAGAGCTCTGCGGGGAGGTGGTAGGGTGTGAGGGAGCTATACACGCCTTGGTGTATTCTGAACATTTTGGAATACTGTCCTTAATCAGAAAGATAAATAAAGCTCTATTTAAAATAAAAAAATAAAATAACTTGAATTCTCTGGAAAGGGACGGTACTTTGATGATGCTTTCTAATGAGGCCATTTTTCAAGCCCACTTGTTTAAAATAAAACCGAATCACATTGTGAGGCTTTATTGACTATTAAACGCCATGCCGACACACTCATCAGATTTGAAAGAAAATTGCCCTAATTAAGTCAGTAACTACTTCTGCAGCACCTGTCTGTTACTCGGAAGCACAAACGTGAAAGGGAGAAAACAGAATGTCCCAAGTGTTCTCATTTTTGCATGACTAACATTGGTAGAGTCCCTTTTAAGCTAAAATGACATGGTTGGAAGCCTCAGCTGAATAGCAGTTGGCCGTGCCCGCAACACGTGATTTTTTTCACTGGCTTTAATGTGGAATTCAGAGCAAGACACGTTTGGAGCCTTACAGACGCCCATAAAATCCCCAAGTTTTCCAGGAGTCTCCCTTTAAAATGCATACACTAAAAAAAAAGGATACAAACTCTTGCAGCTCTGGCACCAAGCAACTAATTAAATCTTAAGAAAGCTATTCCGCAAAAGCAACAAAGACATTTCCACAGACACAACATCCCAGTCTCACAAACTGAAGAGAAGTATCACATCTAAAAGTCCAGAGTAGCCTGTGAGAAGTTGGCATAAAGCTGTGGCTCCTGGACTGTTTTCTCCCCCATAATCCAGTCTCTGGTGATCCTGGTCCTGCAAGACCACCAATGTCCGTCTCAAACTCCAGAGTAAACCCCAACTCCCGGGGACGGCACCAAGATTTAAACAAGGTAGCAGCAAAAAGGTTCTGGGTGAAAGGGCTTATGTCAGGCAGTTCACAGTCTCTGCTCCAGAATGGAGGTCAAGTGCAGAAGCTTTCAAAGCATTAACCAATTGCTTGTTCTTTATAAATCCTGCCCGAGGATATGTTTATTGCTTTTTGAGAAAGAGGAATGTGGGGGTGGGAGAGAGAGGGGGAGAGAAAGAGAGAAACAGACATCAATTGGTTGCCTCCCATACTCATCCCGACTGGGGATCGAACCTGAAACTTAGCTATGTGCCCTCACCAGGAATCAAACCCATGACATTTTGGCACACAGGATGATGCTCCAACAACTGAGCCACGGGGCCAGGGCTAACAGATTGCTTTTAAAAGGACAAATTCCATGGTGTCCAAAATGCCATATGACGACTTTTTTCTTTTCTAAGCTAAAAGTAGTCCAGGATGACTCAATGAACAGGAGTGCAAAAAAAAAAAAAAAAAAGAAAAAAAAAAAGAAACATAATTCTTTGAAGCGTTTTCCATGATGCTGGAATTAATTCCTATATACCATGCCTGTGCTGGAAAAGCTCGGTGGCGGACACGACCTTCCACCCCGTCCCCACTCTCTCCTCCTAAATGGAAGTTTGAAGTGATCCATGAAAACTGAGACTGACGGCTCTAGCCGGTGCAGCTCGGCTGGCTGGGTGCTGGTTCAGTGCAGGGGCGCTGGTTCAGTGCAGGGGCGCTGGTTCAGTGCCTGCAGGCCCGACACTTCCTGCTGCTCCAAGCAGAGCACCTGTCCCACTTCCCACCTGAGCCCTGCAGTGCCCACAGGCAGGGCCTGTGACGTCGCCAGCACACGGCTCAGTGACAGGCACAGGTGGGCCTGCAAGTGTTGGCTGCTGGCCAGAGACACACACAGTTGAGAGTAAGCCAGATACTGTTGTCTATGAAGAGGTGAACCGTATGGTATATAAGTTCCATCTCAGTAAAGCAACTGTTTAAAAAAAGAAAGAAGGAAGGAAGGGAAGGAGAAAAGGAAGGAAGATGGGAGAGCGCAGAGGCCAGATCCCAGGACTTCGGTGGGGGGACATCGACAACCATAAACTCTAGGTATTCAACTGTGTAAGGAGAGTGAACCAACACCTCTGATTCACTTTGAAATGCCTAAAAAAATACGATGCATTGGCCCTGGCCAACAGCTAGGTTGGTTAGAACGTCCACCTGATACACCGAGGTCAAGGGCTCGATCCCCTACTCCCCACCGGGTCAGGGAACACACAAGAAGCCACCAATGAACACATACAAAGTGGAACAAATTGATGTTTCTGTCTCTCTTTCTCAAATCAATTTTTTAAAAGATGGATTAATATATAGACATACGGAGGCAGAGATGGGTAAGTATGTGATAAAGTGATCACAGTAAAATGTTCATGGTAGAATCTAGGTGGAGAATATATAGGAGTTTGCTGTAAAATTCTTTCAGTTTTCTATTCTGCAAGTTTGGAAATTTTCATAAAATGTTTAGGAAAAAAATGTAGCAATTCTTCCAAAAATATGGCCTACTTCAGTTTAAAAATTTAAGGAAAAAAGATAGCCCTGGCTGGCGTAGCTCAGTGGATTGAGCGCAGGCCTGCAAACCAAAGGATCACGGTTTGATTCCCAGTCAGGGCACATGCCTGGGTTGCAGGCCGGTTCCCAGCAGGGGATGCACGAGAGGCAAGCATACATTGATATTTTTCTCCCTCTCTCCTTCCCTTCCCCTCTAGCGATAAATAAATGAAATATTTTTTAAAAAAGAAAAAGAGACACCAAAATAGAATACAATTTTTAAATTCCAAGGCCTGTCCACCACAAACCCCCTCTGCCTTGGCCTCCTGGGGCGGGCTGGCGGGGTTTCCAGCCCCTCTCCCCAGGCATCCGAGGAGCCTCAAAGTGACCAAGGACTGGAAAGGAGTGCGCCAGGCTGTCTGTGGGGCCGGCCGAGGGGGCTCTGTTCACCCTGCCCCAAAGTCAACCGATGCTTGGCCCATTAAGCCTAAGACCATTTGTAAAGGATACTAAATTTCTACATACTTTCCTTAAATGGTGAGCCCAGCTCCCATAGCTTTGAGATTTACCTTGAGAACGATGGAAAAGTCGACATCCTTGGTTTCCTTCAGGCCGAGAGGAATCAGTGGGATGGTAAACGTCTCCCTACAAGAAGCACAGCACGGTTCTTAAGCATCCCTGTCCCGGTTACTCCACACCCACGGTCCCCACTTCCCCTGCACAGGAGCCCAGCTCAGGTTCCCATCCACTTCTGACACCATCCCCACACACACTGGTTCATTTTCCATAAAGACAACTCTGGTCACACCTCTGTCTCTGTCCTAAAACTGGTCCGGGTCCCAGCCTAACACACAAGCCTACTACCATCGGATCAGCTTAGCCCTCCAATCTCAACCCTTCCTTTGGTGACTGTTCTGAGAACCTACTGCGCATGCCCCAGGACCTGCGCCTAGGTCCCCTCTCTCCTGCAGCCCTCCAACCCTGGACTCTCAGTTGCCTCCTCCTGCGGGTGTATCTCTCTTAAGTGTGTCATCACCTGCAGGAGAAAGGCCTTGAGGGCAGAGGCCCCATCAGACAACTAAGTGCTCCCAACCCCCGAGCCAGGACCAGGCCCTGGCCTGCTGCTTCCCTTCCTCCTCCTCCTCTCCCCTCCAGGAACCACTCGGTCACCCCACAGGTTGCCTGGGAATGTACCCTGAACCTACTTCTTAGGGGCAGGGCCAGTAGGAAGTGAACCTGACTCAGGCTGTGTTCTGCAAACAGGGATTTAGCTGCCCGACCTGTAATGGGAGACCTCTGCCCGGCCAGGGGAGAAGGCCAGGAATGCTGTGTGGGCGAGTGGACAATGCATCTGTAAGCTGACACGCCACTGTGGTGAGGAGAAAACAAGAGGGCTGTGCGCAGCGCAGGTGAGGTCCAACGGGGTGCGTGGCTTCCTGAGAGCCGCAGGGAAAGCCCGACCCTGCTGAAGGGAGATGAGGATGGGCCACGGCCCTCTCCCCTGCCCCCGCCCCGCAGGCTGGAGGCAAGGTCTGCCCTCCCTCGTGACCGTCCAGGAGCAGCCAGTCTCCTAACCACGCTCCCTGGCCAGGGCACTTCGCCCTGCTCTTGGGCTAACCTCCGACCTCCCTGTGTCTTCTCATCTGCACATGAGATCGTTTCTTTCTTGCCTACCTCACAGAGGTGTTTAAAGAGTAAGTATGCTACGAAATAAGCAATCTGCTTGTTAAACAGGAAGGGGGTGGATTCAAATGCAAGGTGGCACTGTGAACATGGGAATCTCTCCCCTCTTTCCCGTGGACTGGCCACTTTAGAGCCACACTGTGACCACGCCAGGGCCCTACCTGCGTGTCTCAGTGGGAGGCCTTTACGGTGGACATCCCTGAGCGGCAGTAGAGCAAGTGGGAGCAGGAAACAGCCCCCCGTTTATCACCAAGGTTTGTCCCTGCCTTGTCTCCTCAAGGACCTTTAACCTTCTGGACACAACACTGGAGGTGAACACCAGGGCGTAGGCTGGGAGAAAGCTCTTGCCGTTCTGACTGGGCGTCCAAAACCGCACTGGGAGCCCACAGCTGAGCGAGCCCGGGCCCTCGGGTGTCGCAAAGGGAAGAGCAGAGGTTTCACAGGTTCACCCTCCGGTTCTGAGAAACACACCTGTGCCATCCACAGGGCTGGGGACGGTCAGGAAAAGCACGTTCCAGAGATGCCTCAAGGTTCTCAAATGTCATCCTTCTGTTAACGCAGGGAGCAACTTTCTGACTGAGTTTTCCCTGGGGCTCCCCACCTTTTGAGAAGTCTCATTCCCCCACATAGAAAATTGGGTAAACTCTTCTTTGAAGCTTCTCAAAGTTATTTCTCCTGAAAGATGGAAATTTCCCACCTTGGGGTGGGAGACTCCCTGAGCTTTTCTGAAGGCCACGCCTCAATACTTCGCCTCCCACAAGCACTCTCTAAGGGATACCTCTCAATTAAAACATCTTTCCTCAAATATTTAATGTCCCTTTCTGCAGTGTTTCAGTTGTCCCTTCCCCTAATCCTTGATATAAAAAGAAGCTTAGACATTTTTGCCTTCTATCAACAAAGTGGTCCAGAACCAGGCTCTGTGCGTGGTGGTGAGGCTGAGCCGGAAGAAGGCGGGCAACTTTGGCCCCACCTGGCAGGTTGGCTCTTAGAGCTAACCAACCACAGATGCTCCCAGGGCATCTTTATGGCCCAGCCATGCGGCCCATGAGACCAGTGCCATCTCCTTGCTTGGACCCAGCCACATGGTTCTCCCATAAAACTATGTACCTTTTTAAGTCCAGCTCTCCAGGTGCTCCCAACGAATTCCAGAGGTCCATCCCTGGCACCTTGCTCAATCCCAAACCTAATCATTTCCTCACTTCCCAAAGTGGGGACTACCACACCCTTGGGGGCTACCTGTGCACCATCCCTGGTGTGGCCTGTTCTGGGGCTCAGAAAGCACCTGCAGGAAGCGTACCCCCACTTACTCTGTGCTCTGATAGACTCCCACAGAGATGTTGAGCCCCTCCAGCTCTTCCTTGAGCAGCTGCAGGTTTGAGTTCACAAAGCTCAGCTCCAGGCGAACCTGCTCGCGTACCTTGTGGTTCGTGGCTGCTCTGTTAAAAGAGAGGGGGGAGAGAAGCAGCCTCAGTCAGGTGTCCCAGATGCTTGGTGAGTAGAACCCCTGTCCTCACAGGGAAGCTCTCCTGGTCCACCTGCAGGTGTGAGGGCCAGATGTGATCAGATAAGGTGTCTCAGGGATGCGAGGCACCTGCCCCACTTTGAGCCACACCCACCAGGAAATGGACCTGGGATGTAGACAATGACACTGAGCTGCCAAGCATACATCCTAAATCATCTCTGCAAAGAATTAGCCTTGTGAAGAGAACAGAGAACTGTTCCCAGCCACCCATAAAGGACCATAAATTATCCCCTTAAAAGGAAACGGATGAGAGAACAGAGGAGAAGACTCTCAAGCTCATTCTCTGAGGCTAATATTAACCTGACAGACCAAAATCCTTCCTAAGTAAATACGCAGAAAACCCAAAACAAAATATTAGCAACTTGAAACTAGCAACATATAAAAATGATCATACACCATGATCAAGAGGGGTTTATCCAAGAATGCAAGGTTGGCTTCACATCTGTGAATCAGTTAATGTAGCACATTATAGATAAAAAATACCCAACCACCTTAATAGATGGAAGAAAAAGTACAGGCGTATCTTGATACTGCAGGTTCCGTCCCAGACCACCACAATAAAGGAAGTATCTCAGTACAGCAAGTCCTGATCTTCTTGGTGGTAGAGGGTCTTGCGTTCAGTTTGTAAAGAATGCAACCTCTGTGAAGTGCAATAAAAGGGAAGAGCAATAAAAAACTTTATCGCCTGTAGTAGATAAAGTCCAACTCAGATTTGTGATAAGAATTTTAAGCAAACTAGGAATAAAAGAGAATTTATAAAACTTAACAAAGGGCATCTATGAAAACACGTAGCTAGCATCATACTTCACAGTGAAAGACTGACGCCTTCCCCCTTATCAACAGGAGTGAGAAAGATGTCTCCTTTCGCCACTGCTAACCAAAACTGTACTGAAGTTCAAGCCAGTGCCAAGAAGGCAAAGAAAGAAATGAGGCAGGTGACCCCTCTCAAGAGCACACCCACACCTTTCTTCCCTCTCAGGTACACATCTCCCTAAACTCTAAGGGCCCCCCCAAGACTGGCAACCAGGGGAGCCACGGGCAGCAGCAGCCTGTCCAGGGCTGACCCCCGGGACCCGTCTGCACAGCCCCCTTTCCCTGACCTCCCAGGGAGCTGAGGCAGCCCCGCCCAGGCTCTCCTGTTGCTGCTTCTATCTAAAGCCTTCCTTGTCTCACTGTCCCCAGCTTTAATAAAGTACTCTCAAAGTAAAAAAAAAAAAAAAAAAGGTTTTTAAAGAAATTAAAGTCACTTGGATTGGAAAGAAAGAGTAAAACTGCCTTTATTTACAGATGGCTTAATCTTGTATATAGAAAAATCTACAGGCCTCCATGAAACAAATACTAGAACTAATAAATTTATCAAGGTCACAGGATACAATTCAATATACAAAAAATCATTTTATTCCTATATTGTAGCAATGAACAATATTCAAATGAAATTTAGAAAAATTTAATTCATGATAGCATCAAAAATAATAAAATGCTTCAGAATAAATTTTTTAAAAAAGTACAATACTTACATACTAAAAACTTTAAAACATTGCTGAGACATTAAATATCATGTTTATGAATTGGAAGACTCACTACTGTCAATTCTCTGCTAATATTTTGCTATTGATATGGCAAAACTGTAATCAAAACCCAGTACACTTTTTGGTAAAAACTGACATGCTGATCCTAAAAATTATGTGGAAATGCAAAAGACCTAGAATAATGAAATAATTTTGAAAAAGAACAAAACTGGAGGACTTGCACTATCTGAATTTAAAACTTACTATAAAACCACAGTACTCAGTACAATGTGGTAGTGAGTGGCATAGTGAAACTGAGTAGATTCCAGAAATAAACCCATGCATTTGTGGTCAGTTGATGTTGACAAACACGACAAGACAATTCCAGGGGGAAAGACAGGCTGCCTGATAAATGGTGCTGAAGCCAGTGGACATTCCTAGGTGTGTCAATGTCCCCAAGACCGTTCCTCAGCAGGAGGACTCAGAAGATAGCTGTACTCAGATTTATTACAGCAAAAGGGCACAGAGCAAATCAGCAAAAGGAAAGGTGTGGGGTGAAGTCGGGAGGAAACCTCTCCCAGGGGAGTCTCCCCGAATGGCTTCATTCCTCCAGCAGGGAGTTAGGATAATGCATGTAACAGGCCATCTACCAGTGAGGCTCATTGGAGACGGAGCGGGCAGGGTTTTCACGGGCCTAGTCAGGTGGCACCTCGGCCTGTGTGCTCTAAAATTCTTGACTTCCAGAAAAAAAGCAGACATTTAGCTAAGTCACATTATTCATACGAACAGCTTAGCACAATGAGTCCCCCTTATTGGTTCTGGGAATAGTGGGAACTCTCCTGAAATCTGTTTCCTGACAGCAGCCACAGGTTAAGCTTGCAAGCAGGCCCTTCTAAGGTCAGGCATCTCAGGCCCGCTAGGACACCTCTTTCCTCCATAATAGGCAAAAGACAAACCTCAGTCTAAGTATCTTATCATACACCAATGTTAAGTCAGAAACTTCTAGGAGAAAACCTTCATGACCTTAGGCTGGGCAAAGTATTCCTAACTATACACCAAAAGCACAATCCATAAAAGAGAAATTGATAAATTGAATTCTGTTGAGTTTTAAAACTTCAGTACTTCAGAAGACTCTGTGAAAAAAAAAAGGGGGGGGGAAGGAAGGAAGGAAGAAAAGATAAGCCACATAGTATAAGAAAATATTTGCAAATGATCTAATAAAGAATTTGTATTCAGTAAATATAAAGTTCTGTTCACTACATAATAAAAAGACAACTCAATTTTTTTTTAAAGATTTTATTTATTTATCTTTAGAGGGGAAGGGAAGGAGAGAGGGAGAGCAACATCAATGTATGGTTGCCCCTCATGCATCCCCTGCTGGGAACTGGCCTGCAACCCAGGCATGCGGCCTGACTGGGAAAAGACAACTCAATTTTTTAATGAGCAAAAGATATGAATATACATTTTACTAAAGAAGATATACGAAAGGCTAGTAAGATATGAAATGATGCTCAAGACTGCCGGTTAAGATGGAGGCATAGGTACACACGCTTTGTCTCCTCACACAACCACAAGAAGAATCACAGCTAACCTTAAAACAAAAACAACCAGAGCTGCTAGGAAAATTGAATGGTGTGGAAATCTGACAACAAAGGATTTAAAAAAGCCGTATTCATCCAGACTGGCGGGAGGGGCACAGAGGACGCAGTGTGGCATGAAGAGGTGGCGGTGACAGGGGAACAGGCAGTCCCACATTCAAGTGTAGTGGATAAAAATTGGGAGGGACACCTTTGGAGGGGCAAGCCCAGCCCCAGGCCACCCGCACAGCCCAAAATTCCAGCACTGGAAGATAAAGTCTCATAACTTCTGTCTGCAAAAACCAGTGGGGTTTGGGGCTACAGAAGAAACTGCTGGTTTCTCAGGAGAGTCCATTTATTTAAAGGGCCCGCACAGACTTAGAGTGAGCACAAACCCACCCACTCAGGGAATCACCACTTGAAAGGGAGCCAGTCACATATGGGAAGTGGGTGAAGGGACTAGAAATGAAGTGAGTGTTGGACAAACCTCCAGAAGCCAGGCAGAAGCACAGTCCCCTCTCCAACCCCTCCCCCAACACAGAGCCACAAAGCAGGGAAGTGGGCTGCCCTGCCCTGGCAGACACCTAAGGCTCTGTCCCGTACTTAACAACAGGTGCACTAAGGCAAGGAGTCAAAGCAGCTCTACCTAACACACAGAAACAAACACAGGGAGGTTGTCAAACTGAGGAGACAAGGAAATATGGCCCAAATGAAAGAACAGAACAAAACCCAAGACAAAGAACTAAATGAAACAGAGATATTTAACCTATCAGATGTAGAGTTCAAAACACTAATGATCAGGATGCTCAGAGAACTTAATGAGCATGGCAAAAACATAAGGGAGGAAATGAAGGTTACACTAAGTGAAATAAAGAAAAATCCACAGGAAACCAACAGTGAAAGGAAGGAAGCTGGGATTCAAATCAACAATTTGGAAAATAAGGAAGAAATAAACATTCAACCAGAACAGAAAGAAGCAAGAAAAAAACGAGGGGAAAATAAGACAACTCTGGGACATCTCCAAAAGTGCCAATATCCAAATCAAAGGGATGCCAGAAGGAGAAAAGGAAGAGCAAGAAATTAAAAACTTATGTGAAAAAAAATAATGAAAGAAAACTTCACTAATTTGGTGCAGGAAATAAATATACAAGTCCAGGGGGACTTGTATAGAGAAGCATAGAGAGTCCCAAACAAGTTGGACCCAAAAAGGACCACACCAAGATAAATCATAATTAAAATGCCAAAGGTTAAAGATAAAGTGAGAATCTTAAAAGCAGCAAGAGAAAAGCAGTTAGTTACCTACAAAGGAGTTCCCATAAGATTGTTAGCTGATTTCTCAAAAGAAACTTTGCAGGCTAGAAGAGACTGGCAAGAAATACTCAAAGTGATGAAAAGCAAAGACCTGCAACCAAGATCTATCCAATTAAATTTATCATTTAGAATGGAAGGGCAGATAAAGTGCTTCCTAGACAAGGTAAAGCTGAAGGAGTTCATCACCACCAAGCCATTATTACATGAAATATTAAGGGACTTATTTAAGAAAAAGAAGACTGCCCTGGCTGGTGTGTTCAGTGGATTGGGTGCCAGCTGGCGAAACAAAAGGTCACCGGTTCGATTCCTGTCAGGGCACATGCCTGGGTTTGTAGGCTAGGTCCCCCCTTGGGGGTGTGCAAGAGGCAGTCTGTTGATGTATCTTTTGCACACTGATGTTTCTCTCCCCTTCCTTTTCCCTCCCTTCCCCTCTCTCTAAAAGTAAAGAAAAAAAATGACAGCAATCACAAGTGTTACTGAGGATGTAGACAAACTGGAACCTTTATTCACTGATGAAT